TGCAAAATCAAACCCAAGAAAAAACAGACTTATCTTGATATTCAAAGACATGCCTTGAAGAGACAACCTGCGAGGGTCAGGTGTGAAAGAATCTCTGCTGGAAGAACTTGCACAATTACTAGTGCACACCCACGGGGTTGGCAGCTGTCAGTAGCTTTTAGTTACACCAGCTGCTGAAGAACAGGAAACTGAACAAGATTGTGCATTTCATAAGGCAAGAGACATACACTGAACATAACCACCTTGGTTTCTAGAAGGACCACAATTACGCTAAAGATACTGCACTTGTAGCAACAATCCAAAATGTCTGAGAACAGGATAACCTTAAAGCTTGAGGTAAAATGGAAAAAGATTACACAAGACCAGTAACAGAACTCCATTTTCAGCCTGTGAGCAATCAATCACTCCTACTCATAATCAGTTTGGCCAGGATGAGGCCTAAAGACTAAGAACACCAGAATGTGTCCACAATTGTTGCCTTGCTTTCTTGATTGAAAGAACTACGCAGGCTGTAGCTTATTCAGAACGAAGTCAACACTTCCATGACCAACCTGACCTTCGAACTTCGGTTTTAGCACAAGCTTTCTGGGGATGCACCCCCCCCATGCCCCATTGCCCTGTGCAACCACTGGTGGAAGTGGCTTTTCCTTTTGGGGCCTTTAAGGCTTGCAACACCATGAAGCAACCGATATCCCACAGGATGCCAAGTGAAAGGCAGGACAGCTTGCATCTGCTCTGCAGCTGTTAGACCTATCTTATTTGGGAGGTTAGGAATAACATGTACAGATTCTGAAATCTATTCACACTAGGAAGAACTGTCAGCCCATGGGCAGACCAGAATGTGGGGCCAACACAGGAACTTCTCACTGTCCGGACAGGGCTTTATTGAGGGCAGGGGTCCCCAACCATTTTGAGGCTGTGGGCACCTTTGAAATTCTGACACAGGGCCGTGGGCACAACCACAGAAGGGCTGCTGCAGGGAGTGAAGCCAACCACAAAATGTCAGGGAGCAAGGTTATATATAGATCTAACAGTAACTCTGATTAACAGAAGCTCTGTAGAACAGAATGCCTTTTTATCTGCTCAGCCAATCAGAAGCTCTGCTGAGCTAAAGCCGTACCTAGCCCTGCCCACTTTCTGAAAGGACTTGGCAAGCACCAGGATAGGTGCTGGTGGGCACCATGCTGGGGACCCCTGATCTAGGGACATGCCACAAGACTCTAGCTGCATATTACAGCACTGAGACAAGAGCATTTGCCGGTGTGCCCCGTTATTCCACACTTAAGTTTCCCCTCCCATAAAGAACCCATGGAAGGGAGCTGAAGTAACAAGGAAAGGAGATTTCCAATGGGACACTATAACTCAGAGACTCCCAGGATTTCTGGAAAGAATTAGCTCTCTGCGACCCCTTTTAAGTCCTTAACGGCCTCTAGTGACAAGAGCAACTTGCTTGTAGAGCAAACTACTTAGCAGAATATACCTGGAAGGTAGCCTGCATCTCCCCAGGATTGATTGGGGGGGGGGGGGGTTTCACATCAAACTGGAAGAGTGTTGGCCATCAACCTGTATTTCGAATGCAGCAAGATCAAGTATTACCAGTGGTCGCCAACTGATCTCAGTAGTGCAGAAAGACCAACCTAATCTGGTAAAATGTCTCACCTGAAAATCTGCAGCACTACAGCCTCCAAGTGACAAACTCCTCCTAGGTTCAGTAGTACTTGAGACTTCATTGTCCACCGCCTTTGAATTTTAATTCCATCTCACAAAGACCAAGCAGACAGATCTAGCCCAGCACTAGAAGATCCTGTCAGGAAGCCAACTTCGCCAATAACAATACGTCTGGCTGAATGTGGCTAAACTACGGTAGTGTTAAAAATCTGTGTGGGTTTGTCATACCCACTCTTGGGACTTTGCTTTGTAACAGATTTCCCTACTGGGACCAATGAAGAAGAACTTGCAGCCCTCAAGTGTTCATATCGTCTCCCTTGCATTACAGCTCAATGTATATGGAAGAAGTGAAACTTCCCTACATCCTGGAGACCAGTGAGCACAGCACATTCTTCATGCGAATGGACACTCAAGTGTGTTGGCCTGAGCATGAGCACTAATCCAAGATAAATGATCATTAAAACCAAAGCAGCTTCCCAACCTGTCAAGTATATGGGATCTTAAAAGAGGGAGCCAAAAAAGGGAACCCCCCTTGGCTTTGAGTAGACCCCCTCAAGTTAATGCTCTGAATAAAAAAGGTCCTCTGCCCTGTGTCATGAGCCACGGAGAACCTTTTCTACATAGGAAATTGTATGGGCGTCATACAGCATCTCGATGTGTTCGCTTCCTGGCAGCTCGTGAAGTATCACCTCCTGCTTCTGCTTCCCCACCCACTTATGACAGTGCAAGGCACTTTCTAAGTTCACCGTTCCATCGCCATCACCATAGAATATCTTTGGCTCCTTGTCCGGGAAGGTCTCATAGAAGAATGAGTCAGGGGTCTTCACCCCAGTGCCATACAGACAGTGTATGCGCACCCCTGGTGGAGGCATCTCGTAGACTAGGAATTCGGTCTCTTTTCTCATGAGCCAGCCATCTTCAAAGCCAATGTCTCTGTAGAACTTTTGGAAATCCTGAAGAGTGTAGTTGGCAGTCGGAGTGCTGACGAAGATCTTGTTGGGAGGCCACGTGTAGTTGTAAGGCAGCAGCCAGTTGGTCGAAACTGCTGATCTCTGTTGGTCCCTGATCTTAAGGGAGCTGATGACAGGGATCCTGTTGTTGTCTCCTGTGGCATTAAAAGCAGGTCTTGTAAGTGATCGTGGGTCATAGTGAGTGAGGTCAGGCATACTTTAAAACACCTCACAAACACGCCTCACAAACAAAACCAGAAATATTATTTGAAACTGAACATTTGTTCCACTCAGAAGGTCACAAAATGGAGGGCAAGAGATCAGATTATTGATATGAAAAGTGGTCTACACTAGGGGTCAGTGTTCCCTCTAAGCTGAGTTAGTGTGAGCTAGCTCACAGTTCTTTAGCCTCCGGCTCACACATTTTTGTCTCAGCTCAGGAAGGATGGCTCCAGAGCAAACTAATTTCTGCAGTAGCCAAATCACTGGCTCACAACTTTAATGTCAGTAGCTCACAAAGTAGAATTTTTGCTCACAAGACTCCACAGCTTGGAGGGAACATTGCTAGGGGTGTGCAAACAAATCATTTTCCTGGGTTTGGGTATATTGGACACAAAAAATATTGATTTTTCAGGAATCTCAAATTTTTTAGTTCTATTATACCTTATGGAGACCATTATACTCAATGGGAAATCTATCTGGGGGTATCCAAGGGTGGGGGGGGGTTAGTTAGAAGCACCAAACTGGTAGCATAGCTGCTGATACCTCTTCTCAGAAGAACCCCAGAGTTTCAAAAAGATTGGGCCAGGGGGTCTAATTTTATGGGCCACCATTTTTTCCAATGGTGGGGGAAATAGCAAAAACAGCAAGGGCAACAGAAGCCAAGCAGACCAGAATCAAAGTCCCAGAGAATCTGTGCAGTAGAAACTGAAGGGGAGGCATTTTTGCTAGCCCAGCATAACCAGTGCAATGCAGAGTGCCCAGCAGCACCAGTACAATCAGAGTGCCCAGCAGAACCCAGTGCCATAGTGGCAATGCCAGTTCAACAGGACTTATGTGAAGCACAGAATCTCGCTCCAAGCCTAGCACAACCAGTTCACTGCACAGAATGCCCAGCAGAACCCAATGGCACTGTTGAAATGAAAGCAAAAAAGGATTAATGTCAAGCCAGAGAATTCCCGTAGTACAAACTGAAGGAGGGGACTTTTTTCAAGCCCAGCACAACCAGATCAGTGTACAGAATGCCCAGCAGAACCCAGTGCCACTGCAAGCTTAAAAGGACTGATCTCAAAGTACAGTGGCACAAGAAATCCAAGCTGGGGGAGAGTGGGATTTTGCAAGCCTAGCACAATCAGTTACAATGTGCAGAATGCCCAGCAGAACCCAGTGCCACTGGCACTGCAAGCTTAAAAGGACTGATCTCATAGCACAGAGTCACATCGAATCCAAGCAATGAGGGGGGATGATTCTGCAAGCTCTGTGCAAGAAAATCGGAAGGGAACACAAAGGAAGGTGGACAAAGGAAAAAGAACAAAAACTTCTTGAAGCTGTCAAGACTAGGTTAAAACTGACAACAGCAGCAGGGAAGACCATAGAAACCCAAGACACAAATAAAAAAAGGAAAAAACGAAAAAACAGTCCCTGTGAGCCTACAATGCTGACTCCTGATCTTCCTGGAAAATCCCGAATATATTCAAGATTTTTTTCCAGCTTTCTAAAAAATCCTGGCTATCTTTGGGATGCCAAAATATACCCCAGAACTAAGGTATTTTTCGGGTATATTTTTGGCTCAGCTGTATCTGAATGCACGCCACTAGTCTACACCAAGACAAATAATAATTATTCATCCCTGTATATTTTGCCTTTCAATCAAGAAACTCTGGGCAACATGCATGGCTTCTACTCCCTTCCTTACAACTGTACGTGCTACGTTGGTGTGAGAGTAACTGTTCCAAAGTCACCCAGCAGGTTTTACAGCTGAATGGAAATTTAATCAGGTTGCTCCAATCTTAATCCAGCACACTATCCACAATACCTAACAATAACTCCTTCCTACCTAGTGTTTGAAATGTCTAGTAACCTATGCTACACCACTTTCTCTGGGAGAATACCAGGTTGATTTAACAGACTGAACAAGTTCAAGATCTCAGACTGCTTCTGTTCTCCCCGTTTGAGTGCTTTGACGATCCCAACTGTGCAAATGCATTCAACTGGAGCACTTAAAGACTATCAGTGGCTCCCCACTGTCCCATAATTATGGAATTCAATCCTCCTGCAGGTTCAAACGCCTACTGTCCAGAAGTGGTCCATTCTTTCTCTGACTTTCAGCAGTTGAAGCTAGCACTGACATATTTCAGGTCCTTGTATCAGTGGGTATTTTTACTTTGTTCATTTTATTTGGTATCATTGTCCATGCTAATTGCCTTCAATGTATTTTTTAAGACCACACACAGTATCAAAAATGTGGCAATTTTTGCTGTAAGGCATTAACCTTCCACATACTTTTCCTGGGTCCATTCAGAGTACAACCACTACATTTCAGCCCAGAAATCGCTATCACCTTCTTCAGAAAACTGTATTTTGAGGCACAGAAGCCTTCCCAACCCAAGGCCCACTGCACCACTGTAAGACATCGGCAGTACTAAGACAAGTGTCCTTCTTTTCAATGCCAAACATGTTTTCCTTTCTTCCTGAACCCTACCCATCAGCATGATCTTAGTCAGAAATAACTAATTTCAATAGGTGCCGGTCTGCCATGAGCTACAGCTGCCACTTTCCCTTCATTGCTTTCAGCCATGCTCAGCAGAAAGCAGAAGGAGCAGTGACTGCCCAACTTCCTGAGGCTAGCAAAAAAAAGAAGAAGAACTTCAGCACAGCCACTTGCTGGAAATAGACTGAGGATGCTGAATTATTTCTCATCACTGCATGCCTTGCCTAGGAAAACCTCTTGTTGAAAGCAACCTAAAGCCAATCAGAAGTAAGCTATGTTCAGGAGGTCTTCAGAACTCCACCCAGCTGGAAAATTTTCGTCTGCAGCACTTGCACCCCGTCCCCCATGAAAAGATAACATCAAGGAATTTCATATGCAAGTTCTTGGGGTGAAAGCCACCTGTCCCCTAGTGACCTATTGATTTTTCAAATTAAATTCAACCTTTGTTGTTTCTCTTGGGTAGAAGACTCCTCAGACTTTCTCATATATATGTGGGTCTTTCTCCATCATCCCCAGTGAAGGCTGATACAAAGAATTCATTTAGCTTCTTCACAGCCTTTCCTTCAGTACACCTTTCACATTTTTGTCATGTAAATGTCCTATCACCTCCCTGGATGGTTTCCTACTCCTGATGTAAAAGAAATCCATGTTGACTGTTGTTTACGCCTTCGGCAATTTGCTCCCCAAATCTCTCCTTTGCTTGCCTTGTCGCCTTACATTTGTTTTGCCAATGTCTGTGTTCTACTTCTTCTTTACAGTCAGACAAACTTTTAAAAAAGCATGCCTTGACAAATGTCAAATCTGGAAACCGAAAAACTGCTGAAGCAGATTCCCCACCCATCATCATCATTCCTTTTTACTTAATATTTTAAACACATTACAATTCAACAAATTCATAAATATAAAAACCTACTGTCTTCCATCCCCCCAAAGGGGAAATCCATTTCTAATGCCCACTTCTGACTGGACAGAAGGAATTTGTACAAGTCTGCTCAGTATAACTTTTTGCAGTGCATTTTTAACATGCCCTTCCTCCAAAGGAGCTCAGGGAGGTATACATTGTTCTCCCCTCTTCCATTTTTACCGTAATAATCCTGTGAGATAGGTTAGGCTGAAAGAGTGACTGCCCAAGGCCACCCAGTAAGCTTCATGGCAGAGTGGGGACTGACCCTTTGTCTCAAATCCTAATCCAACATCCTAGCCACCACACTGCGCTGATGGAATGCTCTATATGGCTAAGGGGAAAGTGTACAATGCCATTCAGTCCTCTAAGCTACCCCAGGTGTGAATCAGCTAGGGTTTTACAGTGTGCCCACCTGAAACCTTTAGCCCCAGTGTACCCCAGTACCTACCTGATGCCAATACACGGAGGGTTTTGGCCACACCTCCCCATGGAGCACCTAGTGACACAAAGTCTCTTATGTACTTGTCTTTCCAATCCTGAGTTTGATGGCTGAGGAAGTAGAGAGTATACATATTCCCCATGCTGTGGGCAATTAAGACCACTGGTTCTTTAAACTCTTCATACATTATTTCTATCAGCTTCTGGAGGGCCACAAAATAGTCTCTGTTCTCATCTAGAAGGACCAAGATAAAATAATTTATCAAATTAACAGAATGAATTAATTATCAGTCCCCCCCTACACCCGTGAAATTACCACAAGCGTAAAATGCTTTGACGCTCCCTGACAAAATAGTTTTATATATTATAGAAAGGTTTGAACCAAGGAGTGTTTTCATATTATAGATGCACACGGATCAAGGAAGCACACTCCTTGAATTTCACCATCTTGTTTGTCATTCAAGCACCAGATGTATGCAGAAACTCATCCATCTTACCATAAAGGAAGAAAGGAAGATGCACAAGTCACACCTTCGTTTTTACACAGGAAGTTCAAGTCACTTGTACTTCCTGTGTTGGCCCTTGCTTGTCAGCTTATGAAGTATGGGCAACATGCAGCCCAAGACATACTGATTAAATTTACAAGAGCATCCAGAGAACTGGCTTTCATTTTAAAGAGAAATTTAGCAATCTCAACTACAACAACTGTAACTTGACTCTTACAGGAATAGCTGGTGAGGTAATTGTTTGGCTTGTGACAGCTTAGCTCTGATGCATGAAGGTCACCACAATATGTTTATTAACTATCAGGTGATCTTCGGCTGCATCAGAAGCTCATTAGTTAAGAAAACTTGCATCAGCTTCCAAGAAATTAGTGTTCAGTTCACAGAACTGCTTTTGAGCAGAAAATAATTGGTTTGGGAAATCCCTTTCCCTCTTTTCTCAGAAATGAGCACAGAAGAAAACATTCTATTGGAATATGGGAGAGCTATAAGCATGAACATTTTCCATCTGGATACAGGAAATTATTAATGTTGAGCATGCTACTTATTTTCCACAGACGCTGTATAACCCTGCCTGAGCTATAGTTTCAGAGATGTATTTCAAATGAGATGTTACAGATTCGTCTTGCTCTACAATCCCTTAACAACAACCAGTGATGTTTTATTTACTTGGTGCTTTCCGCCAGTCGTAAGGAGCACCTCTAATGTCGTCATCCCGTCGATAGCCCAAGTTTACCAGATACTGCACTAGCGTATAGAAATAGGTGCCTGTGGATGAAAGAATAAAATTAACAGAAACCAGCAAGACACACCAGCACAGCACTTTGTGCAGAATAATCCTAGAATTTTAGGACTTTTTTTAGCCTGCTCCCACAACGTGGCACTGAAGCAGAGGAACCAGCTCACAAGCTTAGCATGCTTCAAATAACATGGCAAACAAAAAGAGTGGTTAACATTGAGTTAGCGGTTAATGGGAATTAAGCAGACTTCAGTGTAGTCCACAGATTATGCAGTGCTGATTATCAGCATTAACACTTCAACAGTTAAGAAACAAAAACATTTTCAGACATATTTTGGACTATAAATAATCACTAATTAGACAGCAGAAGCATTTAAATGTTGCACTAATTATAGTTTTAAAAAAGCATTATATTATATGCCTGCCAAGAGGCATGAATATTACAATGGGGAGTTGCTGCCAGTTGGAGTAGACAATTTTGAACTAGATGGTCCAACAGTATAAGGCAGATTCACTTCTTCACACACCATCGCCGCTGTTTTAAAAAGCTGCCATTAGATGACAGCCCACAAACTCCATGCCCAGACTGGACATCTGGTGTATGTAACACATTTTTTAGATCCAGGTGGGCAGCTGTTTTGGTCTGAAGTAGTGGAACAAATTTTGAGTCCAGTAACACGCCAAACCTCCTTGTGAGCTATGGAGTCTTGTGAGCAAAAATTCTACTTTGTGAGCTACTGGCATTAAAGTTGTGAGCCAGCAATTTGACTACTGCGTAAATTAGTTCTCTACAGCCATCCTTCCAGAGCTAAGACAAAAATGTGTGAGCTGGAGGCTAAAAACTGTGAGCTAGCTCACACTAACTCAGCTTAGAGGAAACACTGGTAGCACCTTTAAGACGAACAAAGATTTATTCAAGGTATGAGCTTTCATGTGTATGCACACTTCTTCAGATACCTTGTCAAAGGTAATAAACTGATTCTGTTATGCACCATTTGTTTCCTCTCAAGCATGGAGTTAATTAACAACATCCTTTTCCCAACAACATCCTTGAAAATTAAGGATACTTTTACACATCTATTTTGACATATTTATTGCCTCCCTGTTTCCCCGCCCCCCAATAAATCCAAACAAATAGTGACCATATGAACTTAAGCTTGTTATTGCTGTTTAGTCTTTGTATATGTAAAAACATCTTCATTAAGTTGCATGCTAATTTACTGTTCACCTATGTAGACGCATCTGCCTATATATCTGAACAGCTTCCATTTCAATGTATCTGAAGTGTGAGTGCACACGAAAGCTCATACCTTAAATAAACCTTTGTTGGTCTGAAAGGTGCTACTGGACTCAAAATTTGTTCCACATATTCTTTAGGTCTGTGCAAGCCATGTGCTTTGTAAAAGCAAAAAACCTGAAAGTCCAAAGCCTTTTTTCTTGTCATTCAAACTCCCTCATTTTCAAGCCCCAAAGGTGCTACTGGACTCAAAATTTGTTCCACATATTCTTTAGGTCTGTGCAAGCCATGTGCTTTGTAAAAGCAAAAAACCTGAAAGTCCAAAGCCTTTTTTCTTGTCATTCAAAATCTGAACTCCCTCATTTTCAAGCCCGCATTCCAAGAAAGTGATCTTGTGGTCCTGTCACCTTTTAATGTCTTCCCTTTGCTAACCTGACATACAGAGTTTCTTGATTTCAGCTTGTCTGTCAAGCTCCAAACTTTTAGCTTCATCCTGTTCCATGTGACAACTTTGGAGCTGCTCAGTTCTGAGACCTTTTAAACACGGCAATTAAAAGCTATCCTTTTTGCGACAATACGTGGTTCAATGAAAAAGCTTTAAACAAAAGAAACCTACAACACTGCAACAAAATAGGATTTTCTTGGAGAGAAACCTATCTATGAAATGTTTAAAGAAAGCAAAGCAATGACCGCTCCCATATTGACAAAGATCAGGAGAGGGGGAAACATCACACCACAAAAGAAAACTGAACAGGTAGCTCCACCCACGGAAACGTCTTTGGACAGCGCTGGCTCTTCGACTTTGAAACGGAGATGAGCACCGCAACCCTAGAGTCGGATTCGACTGGCTTTCGAGCAAGGGATGTTTTATGTTATCAGCTATAAAGGTACATGGCCGCATGGAACGCAGGCAGTTCAAGAAAAAGGACTGTTAGCTCACTAACTGGTCAGGGGCCCATGTAGTCAGAGGAACAAGTCCCAAGTCTTCCATCCTGACTCTTGTTAAGTCAAGGTGAGACAAGAAGGAGAATGGAAGCTGCCACAGCAAAGCATTGCTGACCAGATGGAAAGATGGGGGAAGAACATGGACAGGTTTTATGCTTGAGCCCTACATGATTGAAGACTGGCTTTATTATCCCAAACTTCTGTTTTCACCTTCAAATTCAACATGACCTAACTCAGGACTTTAAATTTTTTAAAAAGGAACCTACAGGGCTTTTGCATTCAAGGATTTTTTGGGGAAAGAAGTCCTTTTTGCTTATTTGCATTGTGCACACATATCCAGGACATTTTTTGTCACTGGTCTAAAGCCCTAAATGGGGTCTGACTGAGCATGAATACCTACCAACACTTCTTTTACTTGGGTCAAGGAATTCCAAGGGGAAAGTTTGCCCAAATCCAGGGACTTTGACATCTACCCCATCAGGTGGTCCAGTAGTGCCACTTGTTCGATTGTATAGCAGCCTGGAAAGAGATAAAGACAAAGGTGAACACCGTCATGTCCTACTGTACCCATGCATTTTAGTTAAAAAGTACGCAAAATTTGAACTGCAAACAGACTTAGAACAACAGTTTTCTAGCTCCTTTAGGTCAAGCCACTCAGTAATGGACACCATCCAGTCTGAAGGGCAGATCTGCACTCCATAGAGAAGAGATGAGCTTCTTTTGCTAACGCATCCATAAGTGGGACCTGCATCAAAGCTAGCAAAGAGGTGCTAACAGACAACTTTAAGCAAGATATTTCAACCAAGCTCTTCGAGAAGACATTCAATAGGCTCAAGAAGAATAGCTGCTTAGCCACAAAGCACTATTTGAGAAAGTCAAAGCTAATAGCTGTGGCAGCTTCTTGGGAAGTAACTGACAAGTTCCTTTAGAGCTTCTAGGCAGTCGTCCCTCCTTGCACTCTGTGTAATGTAGTTAACAATAGATGTTCGTCCTAAAATACCTGATGCTCGTCTCAAGTGCCAAGCACTTGGTTTTTGGTCACAAGCTACTGAAGTAATTAATTACTCTGCTTTCTTCTGACAGGTAAGTGAACCAAGTTAAACAGTCACTCATCGACATGGGTTCTGTTGACCTACATCTCCTTTACAACAACAAGAAAGGGACCTTGCTTGTGTCTCCTCCAACGGATACATTGCTCTCAGGAAGAATTCCATGTCCACATGGTAAGCCAATTCATCATTAACTCATAAGCTAGCATTCTGACACACAAAGACAGCAATTAGGTTCTAAAAGGGACAAAAGCAGGTTGAGCAACATGCAGAAATCAGAGCTACTCTTTATGTACTTCAACAGCCATTTAAACCCTAGAGTGCAGCTCTTTTCCTTAAGCAGGTCATGCGTCATGGCTGACCTCCTGACAATTATGAACTCACAAGTCACTGGGTCAATTCAGACATGATGCCAAAGCACAGTTTGTGTTCACCAATGAAAGCCATAGTCTGAGCTTCCCGGAAATACTGGCAAATCATAGTTTAAAGCTTAATGCTGGCTTTTGTTCCCTGTCTGCTTTGTTGCCTGTTTCTATAGTGCAAGTAGCCTCTGAAGGTACAGCAACAGCCTTAGCATGGTTTTGTCAATTAAGGCATTACTGCAAACCATCATGGTTAACGTGATGTCACATGGCAGACTCTGAACAGAGACATTGTTTGGTGCTAAGGTGAGTGAACAGCGACTCTACACCACCACTCTGAGCTTGCAAATAAGGTACTGGATTGTGTAACTCTGGGAAGAGATGAGCATGGTTTAATTTGCCACCCATCCACTAGGTCAACTGCCAGCCCTGCACCCTTTTTAACACAGTGTTCTTTAAACTATGCAAACACCAATGTACAAAGTGTCCTGTTTGAACTTGCTCACCATGTGGCATCATTTATGTAGCAAGGGGCCCTAGCATGAAGAAAGCTGACTCGGGACAGGAGGCTGAATTAAATTATCATCTTGCTACCCTCCCATCCATAGTTCAATGCCAGTGCTTCTGTTGTACAGATGAAGCACAGGTATTAAGTGGTCTGCTTCACACAAGACAAAACATCTTCTATAAAATACGCTTCCACTAATGGACTAGTATGAACCCCACAGGAAATTCATGTTTTGATGAAAGCACATATTTTGTCAAGGATAAATGCAGCAGTAATCATTGTAATCAAGAGTTCCTGCCATGCACAGCATTCCTTATAAATGAGAACCAGCTTGTACAATACTTCTCTTTATGAATTTTTTTTCTGTTATCCACAAATAATGAATCAAAATGGTTAACTCGCTCTTGCATATGGTGCTGGTTCTTGTTAACACTGCTGCATCCTTACCTGATATTATCAATCCAGCAGTCAATGATCACAGGAAGAAGCAGTTCCAAGTTCAACCACAACGTGAAGTAACTGTCTGTCTTCTTGGAGCAGACGTAATGCACCACAGAGGGTTTGTCCAACTTTGCTTCTAGCTGGTTACCCAGATCCCCTGGCACTGAAATGAGAAAGAGGGGAGGAAAGTTACAGCAAGTGCTAAGGCTCTGTCCAAGTATTTTTTGTGTGGTGCATACATCTTGGAATGACTGAGAATATAAACAAATAACATAAAAGATACCACATTTTGTAAAATCGTCAGAAATCCATTGGAAGAAAGCACGCATATTACTGCAAAGTGAGCTGGTATTTACTCAACTTCCAAATGAGTCAGGTGATCTTCAGAGTTACAAGAACCCTTTCATACTTCTAAACCTTGAAATTTTAAGTAATGTGACTACTTTAAAGCAGAGATTGTGTTTGGGGGAGGGGCCGTTATCTCAAGACATGTGAGTTAAGCTGTGTGAAAGTCTTACTCATATGCTAAGCTTTATTTTAATCACGCAAAAATGTTCTTTTTGAAAACTTCCCATTACTGGTTGATCTGAAATGTAGAATCTTTCTTTCTGCAACTTCAAGGTACATTTTGATTAAATTACAACAAAGCACATTTAGATTATTTATTGGCATGTTATTTGCTTTGGTGCAAATTCACTATTGTCCTTTAAGTGGATCTCAGGGGTGCTTTATGTGGACATCTAAAACATTAATCTAAAAAACAAGTTGTTACGCCATATCCAAGGGCTGAAGGAAAGAATGCAGTGTGAAAAGTTAAACCTCATTATCCTGCAATAAAGTTCTGCACTGCTGAATATATTTTCTTGGAAGTAACAGTTCATTAAAGGAACGTAAGTATGTGTAGGCTTGCAAATGAATAACTCAGTACTACGAATGTTTACTTGGACGTAAGGCACACTCCGACCTGGATAGCCCAGGCTAGCCTGATTTCATCAGATTCCAGAAGCTAAGCAGGGTTGGCCCTGGCTAGTTTTTGGATGGGAGACCTCCAAGAAATGCATGTACGTGGCATGGAGGCAGGCAACGGCAAGCCACCTCTGAATGTCTCTTGCCTTGAAAACCCTGCAGGGTCACCTAAATCAGCTGTGACTTGACAGCACTTTTCACCACTACCAAGGATCACTGTGTTCAATGGAGCGCAGTCCGAAGAGTACAGTGAATTATAGGCTTTAAGTAAATTACTGGACCTATAGGAAGATGGCTCCCAACAGCTTCATCTAGATGTGTCTGATGGAAAACATACCCATTTTGAAAGGAGTGTTGCTGTGACCCAGCACAGATCTCCTTTTTTATTCTTCAAATGTTGAGTTCACTGTTCAGTTCAGTTCAGCTCACTGGTTTAACCTACATACCACTTCAAAGTAAAGACAAGCCTGTTTCGATAAAAAGGTCAGTCAAGCGTTCCCAGGGATTTTGTAAAACTGTATCAAATTAGTGATCAGGGCCAGATTGCAGAGCATTTCCATCCTTGTCAGTTAAACAAAGGAATAACGTGATGTAGTACCTTGAACCTGGAAGAAGGTTAAATTTCCCATACAACATTCAGCTGAGGAAGCTGCCGATCCAAAGCACAGGGAAAAAAGGCAAAGCATCACACATTCCACCTCCCATACAATATTAAACACTTTCTTTGGGGCATGGTTACCCTTTCTGCGGTTCAAAGCAAATTTGATTAACATGTAATTCCTCCCCTACCTCCAGTAACGATGTGGTAGAAAATGTCTGCAAGAAGCGTTAAATGTTAAATCAAGTTGGCCTTATGAAAAAGAGAGCCATGAAAACCAGCTTCTGTTCACAGCACAAATGCAACACTGTCCTAAGGACTGGTAATTAAATCAGACCAAATGAAAACATTAATGGTGTTCCACTGATATTCTTTGTGTAAACCATAACAACTGTCCCACCAGCAAATAAAGGAACCTCATCTGCATCGCAGCAATGGTATGGGACTGAGTTCACTTTCTGTAGAATAGCTGTGTCCCAGATTCAGTGGATGAGTGACAGAAAGGCACTAATTAGCTTTTTCTTTTTAATTGTACATGTCATCAAGATCAAAAACAGCAAGAGCACTGCAAGATCCTAAGAAACTGCAATCAAGTTCACCCATCAAATATATTCTTAATTGCACTGTGCAAAAATAACATGCATAATGCATGCAGCCTAAAGGTTGAATATTAAGCCTATACTTATAAAAGACCAAAGTGAAATCCAGAGCGGCAAGGTACGAGTGGCTCACAAGGCTTGGGGTGACAATTACAACATCATTGCCATTACGTAACTGGTTTTGAGCTGAATTACTGTAATAATTATTGTGAATTGACAGTTAATAAGAGATCACTGTTGTCACTGTTACAATGTTATTCTCCTAGCACTTCCGTCAGACCACCATTAGGATTTCTGGATGCATGCAGATGGCATCATAGGGTAGATGATCAAGTTTTGCTACTTTCACTGAGTTGCCTAGAAGGCTTTTTAAGGTTCCTACTGTCTGACAACACGTCCAAAACCAAGTTTGTGTGCTACATTGTAGCTCAGACTAATATATCTAGAAAAGCTGCTGTGAGAAAAGCAGAGTTGCTGTGAGAAAAATGGTAAAGAGGAGAACCACAGAAGCCTCTGGGTCCTCATCAGGGAGAAAGGTGGGATATAGATGAAGTAAGTAAAGGAACTCTTGCACATCTGCCACAGAAGACCAGTATGTTTCATCACATTTCAGAGAACTCAGAAACATGTTAGAGGACACACCCTAGTTGCATTTTTATTGTTACTCCACTTGAAACGCACTTGTGACATGGCACATACCCAATATTCTCTCCTGTACCTGCTCACGGTGTCAGAAACAGGTTGTGCTGAGCAGGCTATCCTTTAGGAAAGATTATTCAGCATTAATCCTATTATGAGAGGACATCAATCTCTTGGATTACCTGCAAAGCACTAAATTAAGCCAGAGAAAGTTGAATGTGCAGGCATCATTTTTCCTGGAATTCTACCAGTACCTTATCACAACCATTCTCCATATTCCTCTCTAAAGTAGCCTTTTCCCTAAATCAACAGGACTGAGTCATGTGCCAAACAGGAGAAATTGAAATTAACACAGACTTGAACAGAGGTTTGGTCTGTACATTTAATCTAGGGTACTTATGACTTAACTCTTCCCTACCTGCCATTCTAAATTTACTTTTTAGGCATGTTGTTTCTTCTATACAGCGATGCTGCAGGTGTTGAACCATCATTAAAAATAGAAACAGCAATGAAGCAAAGTTCGCAGCCACTTCTCTGTTTCATTTTAGGGTGAAAACAGTATATTTTACATCTCAAGGAGAAACATTTTTATTACATTCCACATAAAGATCCCAACCCATTTCACACACTGCTTAGTTTGGGGATCTGGAAAACCATCTTCTCTAAAGACATTTCTCACGGAGGGAACGTCCTTAGAAAATGCTGCTTTACAGATCCCCTGGCAAAGCAGTGTGTGAAACAGACAGGGATCCTTGTGTGGAATGTAATTTAAAAAATTCCTACTGCAGCATCATTTTTGTTCATCTGCTTTGACTCTGTACTGTTGCAGCCTTCCACTTTTTTTTTTTGTAAAGTCATATTTATTCAGTTTTTGAATACATTTCATCATGCATACAAGTTCTACTTCTAGATATAACAACTTACAGAGTCCCACAACATCGGATTTGACATTTTAACTTTTCTTTAACCATTTATAAAACGTTCCCCACCTATTAAAGAATATCGTTGTATCTTTATATTGTAATATTGTGGTCAGTTTATCAATTTCAATCGTTTCTTGTATTTTAGAAATTAGTTCTTTTTTCGACGGTATTCCCCCTTGTTTCCAATTCTTGGCAAATAGGATACGTGCTGCTGTGATTATATATCCCAAAACATATTTTTGCTCCTTTGTATATTTCTCTGGTATCACATTTAACAAAAAGAATTCTGGAGCATATGGTGTTTCTATTTCCTTCCACTTTTTCATCAAATGATTCTGGCCTGTTGTCATCTATGCTATTCTGCCCTCCAGTAGATGAGTCTCTGAACATGGACCCAACACAGCAAGATTTGTTCCTTCTACCCCATATACATACATACATAATGTATGTACATATACTCCCAGTGATTAGCCTCATGCACACACAACCCTGCATCACAAAGAGAACCACAAGAAAAACATATAGTTCACTAGGCATTTTCTAAAAGGAAGAACTGGATGATTAAGAGAGGGTTTATTAAATTCAAATGAGAGATTTAAACCTTATCATTTTGTCTATTTTCCCAGCAAAAGCTGTAGGTCAGATCAGCATTACAAGAGTAACACACTAAAGCAAAGCACTTCAATATTTGATAAAACGTTTAAGAATGCAACACAAGTAGCAACTCTAACCAAATGTTTGAACTTGTTTGCTAAATATGCAGGGACCCTTTTGTTGCTCCTTACCTCCTTGAAACAGGAATGCTGAAAAGACCGCAACTATATTTAGAATAATCTTTCATGGCTAGCCAGTTTCTGGGGTACACCTGTTACAAGCCGCTAATTTTGTCCGCTGCCTCAGTGCCAAAAGGAAACAAATATCTACTGGACTCAACATTCTGTTCCCCATATACAAGAAACAACAAGTCGGTCTGAAACAACTTAAAACACTTATTGTAGCGTAAACTGGCATGGACCAGAGCTGCTTTGTTAGATGCAAGACAGGCCTCTGATTGAGGAAACCCTCGCCAACAGAAGCTGATGCCATAATATACTTCTTAGGATTTACAGTACACAGGACTCACGGCTTATGCTACTGCTTCTCAAGTATTTGTATATCTGATTTATACCACAGCAGTAAGTATTCAACAATTAATGCTGGAATCAGCCCTAACACTAAAACAGGGATGGTTGAAATGCTAGCAACTGTCAGGATAAATTACATTTTGAAGGCATGTGAAAGGGAATTTAGATACATTAAGATTTCTACAGAATCCAAACAAAATAACACTGGTATTATAAGAATGGATTTACCACTAGTCTAAGTACATTTAGCATGTGATCAAAATTTCAATGGAATTAGGAGGACATTTTCCCATAAGATGCTTAGGAGTGCTATA